GCTTCAACTTTTATCATAATTATAAGTTGCCAAAACTAAATACAATAGAGCCTCCAAATGCGACCATCTCTGGAAAGCGACCACCTCCCACAGCAACTGCCAATCCAAAACACCAAACTTTTCCTAGTCAAAGCCTTACAGTTGGAACCTCTAGTAACTGACCACCTCCTGTAAGTGACCGTGACTACTTTTTGGGCCTGATGGTTAATGATTTTCCTCTTTCTATTCTCTTGTAAGCAACCACTTGACACATTCTCTGATCTCTATGTTCCCTGCATGCACTATGGTACTTACAATATATGAAGAACTTTAGTGACAATATGGAGCTACACATGTCGCAACTTAGACATTGCATGCAATGAATTCTCTAACTTAAAGTGGATGTACTTGGACCAGGATCGGCTATTTATTGAGTTACGAGCTTGAGTTGAGTAAAAGTTGAGTCGAAGTTGAGTTTGAGTTAAGGTTAAGTTTGAGTTACCAAAAAACGCCTTTTTTTACAGAAAATGCGTTTTCACCGTTTTTGTTCCTGTTTTTAGGATTTTTTCTATTTTTGTTGCTGCATTTCTATGATTGGAGCACGAAACTACGCCCCACGAAGGAAACGAAACACTTCACGGGCACCTGTTATTGAGAGCACTGTTCCCTTGTTCTGTAACAGTAAAGTTCAGGGGCGCCCAATGACTGTTTTCTGTGAATAATCTATTCGGAGAAGCAAGTGTTGCCTATAATTTTCTATTACTTGAGGACGGCTAAAAATTTCTAAATGATCTTTCCAATCAGGTACAATTTTCAAAGCTTATCTAATAAATTTTAATTTCTCACATTTTACTCCCCATGTTAGCCTAATTCTGGAAGAAAAAGGAAACCTAAACTTTTTGGATTCAAAAATGTGATGGAAAGAGGAATAAGAACAATTCTCACTACGTAAAACATTCCATTGTATCTGACGACAAAAGAGAATTAAATGGCCATTGTGCAAACAAAAAAAACATGGACAAGGAGAAGAAAAAATGTAACAACTGTTCTTTTTCCCCACGATTGTTAAAAACTGACTTGTAGCATTCTATCATGTTCTGATGTTGCGGCTTCCAATACTAAAGAACAAAACCTATAAATTATTGCATGGACTCTTTCACTGCAAAGTCAGGTGCTCTCTGCTTTACAAAGCAACATTGTTGCTAGCAGGATCAGCTTCAAATTCAAGGCTTTTTTGTTGCCGTGGTAGCCAAGGATCCAAACATACATGTAAGGACAACAACAAGACCGGCCAAAAAGCAGTAGGGTTAGGTTGGCAAAACAACCACTTTGCACCTGCATCATGCCTTTTTTCTTGCCATTGTTGCATGACCATGACACGAAACTGCCTAACTTCTAGTTTTCAAGAGGATGCCAAGGACGTGAACACCACACAACCATTTTTTGATTCTTTCTTTTTTAAACTTAGATACAGTCCACCAACAGTTGACAAATTGAAGGACATGGATTAATAACGATGAATTTTGAAACAGTGTGAATTCACTTGTTAAGAGACGTTTTCGCTGTCGTAAACTTACACAACAGGACGAGAAAGGAAAGACGGCAAACCTTGTGTGACAATAATTTTGTTTGAAAAAAGTCTTGTCAAACCTTGCCCCCCTTTAAACAGATGTTTTAGTAAATGACCAGAAAACATCAACATGAAGTGAAGATCATGACAAAGCACATAAGTAAAACACTTTCACAAGTAATATTAGTATTGAAATAATTCGCTCAATATTAAAAGTCTTTTCCAGGCATTCAGAATGTGGCGGGGAGGGGGATGTGACTGTCTACACCCTGTCCTTTTTGCAGAATTAAAAAAGCATGGCATTGGATTTACGCACTTGATAAGTGTACAGGTGGACTCCACTGTTGCGCAATTTTTATGTGCGTGGTGAACACACATAAATTTTACGCATGTAAATAAAATACAACATAAAAGTTGAACCTCGCTCAACTTTCTGGTTTACATGGACCTCTCATACATTGCCTCTACTGATTTCATTTACGTGCGTAAACTTTACATGTGTTCCCCACGCACGTAAAATTATGCAATAGTGGAAATAAACCTTAACGCTGACAAACTAAGAAAACCTAATAAATAGCACCGAAAACGGTAACGCAAACCTAACTCAATGTTAACTCAAACTCAACTCTAACTCAACTCAGACTCATAACTTGATCATTATACTATCTTGCTTGGACCTCTTCTCGGAAGAGGCCCCCTGCCATTCAATTCTTGTAAGCTACCACCAAAAATGCTAATACTGAGTGGTCGCTTACGGGAGGTTCGAATGTACGGAATAGGAAGATTGTACTTGACAAGTCAAAAATGTGGGATCATGAGAAAATATTTGTCCTTGTTTCTCCCTCTTATTTTTCCTCATGTGTTGTTTCTGTTGATCACAAATATCAACAAGCCTCTCCCACCACGGACTCGTTGCTGAAACATACACTTGAACAGAAAATAAGTATTATCTGATTGTACTAAAAATACTGGCATCTGGGAAGTTATATGAAGCTATTAGGTAGATTGTTGTTTTAATTTATGCATGTATAACTGTTTTAAACTCCTGGCTAACAGTTTATCTTTCAGTTTTGTTTCTCAAGTTTTTTGGGCAATGTTAACTCTCGGAAAATTGGAAACTGTTCGCGTAGCAACTTATAATGCACAAAGTTAGCGTATATAATATAATCCGGCTTACCTGCGGAAAAACGTTTCCTCCAATTTCTGTGTCCACGTGTCTGGAACTGTCGACCTTTCCGTATGTAAGCTTAATTTTCTCTCATCTATTTCCCTTCAAGGCTTTCTTCCGATCGCTTGAACATCCTTGACCAAGCTAACAATTTCCTCGGTTTTTTACTGTAATGATAAACAGTTTCTGCTTCAAGCAGCGTTTCGGATCAGTTTGACCGCCATTGCTGATTGCATAATGAGGGAGATTAATTTGCATTTTATATGAAGTATTCGGCGGTGGTCACGTTTTGTTATTTTTGCGCCGAATTAACCCTATCTTCATTCTTAAAGCGGTCACTGAAAATCTTTACAACGTTACAGTTTGAACGTTGGAGTCAATGAAGCTAAAAATATATCTTATTTTTGGCGCCCTGTCAATAACATCATAAACTGTAGTATACGACTGCATGCAGTTGTATAAGTGCATATAATTTTCAGATAACAGGCTTATTAGTAAAGTGAAAAAGAACAAGCACAGAACAAGCTCTTTACACAGCTCATGACACAGATATTAAACTTAAGCTTACATGCACCACAAATGCTTTTGTTTTGGAAAGGGCTCACGATGTTTACAAAAAAAACTTCATAAACGAATTTAATCTGTCAAAATAATATTTACGAAAAAAAGGAACCAAACTGATCAATTTTTCCACTGCGGTTACTAAAAGAGGTATAGTCATGCTGAACATTTATAAACTTATCTATTAAAGCTTTTAAAACACGTGAACAAGCCTGACACTTTGTTACAAAATTGTCTCAAATGAGCGGCATGTAAAAAGCAACTTTACCTCAGCTGACTTTCTCGTTTTGCATGCAGCTAGTATCGTAAAGTTCTTCTCCTCTTCATCCAGCTGAGAAAACTTAGAACTTGACACTTTGAAAGCCATGATTATCGGGTTGAAAGTTAAAAAAAACTTTTTTTGCGGCTACAGCTAAAACGAACCCGGAGAAAACGAAGTGGTTGGAAGCCGCCGGCAGCGACAAAAAAAGGCGCGAAAACTCCTGCACGTGAGTGCAGATGGAGGTGGCTTTATGGGAATAACAAATATTTAATATCACCCCCCTCTAGAGTAAACCTCTCTTGTCCAGGGTAAAAAAACGCCCAGGTCTCGCATGAAAGTTGCGAAAAGTTACTCCAAAATACTAACGTCATTGAATTTATTCGGTTTCTTGTTTGATTAACAAGAGTTTGCGTATTGCACCTTGTTCAATGTCGCAAAGTTATCAGTCAATTCGTTTCGAAGACAAGATAGACAAACGGTCAGCGAGGATTGTGACGTTAAGCTTTGAAAGAGCGATGTAGACTACGAGTATTCCCCCTTTTCCCTCAGGGATAGTAAAGCGAGCAAAACGCGAGCGCGTTTGATTTTCACGCGCGCTCGCGTTTCGGTTCGCTCTACTATCCCTGAGGAAAAATGGGGACTACTCGTAGTCTAAGAGCGACATGGATTTCTAATCAATTGATGTACTGGATATCGCACTTATATATAAACTCTCTCGATATTTTCGCTAAATTATATGAGATTGTTTGAAAAAAAAAGAACATGCACACATGTAAAGCATACTCAGGAATACGCTGATTTAGCAACAGGACGGGAACGTCAGTTGGCGACGGGAAAGCGCTCGGAAAGGACTAAACAGGACTTCCAGTTCCCAATTTGCCGCTCTGCCATTCTCTGCCATTGGCCAAGCCAGTTGTTTGATTTGCGCGCGCAGTTGTCAACTGACGTTCCTGTTCTGTTGCTAAATCAGCCTAATTGGGAGAAGGGACACTGGGATGTGTCCCTTTGATGTCTATGTGAATTGGAGGAAACGTCTTACATGAAAAACAAACAATAGCAGGGTTGAGAAAAATCTAATGTTTGTCTTAGTTCGAGGGTAGGACAAGAACAAAGACAAAACCTTGAGTCACCGACAGTTCGAAGCTTTGACCTTTTAGGAAGAAAAGGGAGACTCAAGTGCAGAGCAAGACTTAGCCTGCACTATAAGCATTATTGGAGGTGCTCAGGGGGGTTTTGGGTGTAATACAGGCTCCCACCCATCGACACAGTTCATCTGCGACACAGCCATAAAATGTAAAAAAAACGTACACCCCCTCCCCCCATATTTGATGAATGGAGAAAGCCCGCCTGTGCGTTGCCACTCTGTGAGATTAAAATCTAAAATTCTTTTAATCTACGACTTTCAATGACAGCAATTGCCTATATCAAAGTTAAGTGTGCAACATTATATGCTGTCAGGAGCCCATCAAATGGAGCCTCCATCTCCATTAATTTCTTGAGTCAACCCTTTCCCGAGTAGATTTATAAATAGAACGGCTAGTTTCCCGCGAAAAGTGTCATATTTCCGTGAGTCTCGTGTGTCACCGCACCGTGCAAAAATAAAATTAGATGAAGTCGAACTCAGAAGCTCGTCCTTCGACCGTTTTCCTTTTTTCCTTTACGTCCATTTTTACAATTTCACAGCCGCTGGGATCTGGGTATCATGAAATAAAAGTTAATGAATTACTCGACTGAGACTGAGCATGAAGCGATGGGACAAAGACAGCGAAAGGGTTTATCTTTGCGAGTGTTCTTTTTTTTTTTTTGCCGTCATACATCCCACATTTAAGCATGGACCTTGAAAAGAGTCGACGATTAAGCGTTCTGTGGAGGATTTGGAACTTTTCGATGATCAGCGCCGAAAAAGTGCCGGGATCATTTGATTTTTGTCATCACCGTGGAGTGGATAAGCACCGCGTGCAAAAGCGATGACCTAAGTAGCAACTAACGAGGAATGCTTCAGTTCCGAAATTTGAGAAATTGCAGTCTTCCTTTACAACTGACTTGTATCACCATGAGAGTTGCCTGATAAAACTGGCACTTGAAAAGTTGACCAGAAGACAACAGTTGCTCGACCGTGAAGCTAACTCAAAAGTAATTTGCTAACAGAGGAATTTGTGACATCGCGCTCCAGTCCAAAGACCCACTTATCTCAAGAAAAACAAAATGGCTTGTATCTGTGCATAAAAAGAATTATGACTGACTAACAGGACAATTCTCAGCAGTTAATGTAGAAGTTTAGGCTCAATTCCTTCCTTCGAATTCGCATCTGTAGATCACTTTTGTGCGAGAAAACAATGGCTGGGCCCGGCGTTACAACATAGCAGGGAATCATCACACTAGCTGACGGACAAAACAACCACAAGAACTACAAGTATTTATTCAGATAAACGCATTTCGGAAAAAAAAACCTTGAAAAGCTAGAAATTTGATTAATATTGAGTCATTTAGCCGAAATAAGAACCTTAACGCTCAAAAAAATTGGCTAAAAAAAAAAAGAATCCTGTCAGAACTACAGCCGCAGGTAGTAGTTAATCATTATGCATGTAACAGACCATCTTCATGGCCTCTTAATGTGAGACAAGCAACCAAGATTAAGATTAACACAGTCAGAGTTTAAAACTCTCCACAGTATAATCTACCCGCTAGAAAGAAAAAAAAAATGAAAACGCTAAAGTCACGTTCCACTAGCTTATGATTCTGTTTGGCCTGTCAACACCGAATTTCCTGCTGACAGTATAATAGCAGTAATTTCGTCGTTGTGAAATAAGTCTGGCTTCTAATTAAAATTCTAAAGGGTTGTATTTGTATGGGGAGATGGAGGCTCCATTTGATAGGCTCCTGATGCTGTTCAAAAGAGTGACAGTATAAGTAGTAAGAAAATAACTGGCTTACAATTCTAAAGCTGTATTACACTTATACTACTGCAGGTTATATTCACACGGTCCACACGAGTCGGTCATAACTTTCTTCAGTGAGGGATACCATAAACTCTTGCCGTAACGGCTTCCGTTCACACCTATACAATGATTGTAAACGAATGATTTTTTGAAGGCGCTAGTATGGATATTTTTTTAACGTTATTCCGTCGCGGCTTCATCATTCGCTAAGCAGGCTATGTGAACGGAGAAATCAAGCGGTATAGTGCATGTGAACATAGCCTCATCCTAAATGGTACTTACAGTGGAACCCCGCTAGCCTGTGCCAGGCTCTCAGATAGTATAGTGGGGACGTATTAAAACGAGCAAAGCGAAAATAAGACGCGCGCGACTTGGGAAAGTGGGTGGTGGCAGCGGGGAAAAAGGGGAAAAATGCGCCCTGTCTCTTCCCAGCCCCCGGGCGTTTTTCGCATTCCTTTTTACGGAACGACTTTTCACCGCTTGGAACAGGCTAAACCCCGTTAATACTGTCACCAACGGGTCAAAAAAATTTGGCCGTGGGTGACCGCATTATTAAACGGAGTTTGTTTTATAAGAAAATGTATGGCTCTTCTGCCGGGCCGGGCCGAAAAAAGTGGCCGTAATAACAATGTGACCTTATTACCGAAGTGGCCGTAAGGTAGGGTTCCACTGTAAATCTAACGCTCAGGTCAGTAGTGTACCTTCAGGTTGGTAATGTACCTTCAACGTTTACCTGAGATCCGATGCCTTATTGCAGCTTTAATACATTCTCTCTAACCGTGGTTGGTGCTAAGTTGCATTGCGCGTATGTTAGTAATCTTATATCTTTTTTGAGTTATTAACTTACTGAGCACAAGTCGCAGGTAAAGCAGATAAATGGAGTAAAGCGAAAAAGGGTCTTGCAAATGACCTTCGGCTTCTCTCTAAATTACATTTCCTGGGACTGGTCAAAGGCTACATTTTGATTTATAAACCCACTACTAAAAAAGCTTGTATGGCGGCTATAGTTTGTTGTAGCTAAAGTTTTCTATGCTTTAGGCGGTATTGCTCCAGAGTCTACGGGCCCAGTGGCTGCGGGGTACTGTGGTGGAGGGTAATGGCCTGCCGCGGGATACTGGGGCGGATAGTTTTGAGCAGGATATTGTCCAGAGGGGTACTGCTGGGAAGTATACATCAGTGAGGACTGGGTACCAGCTGGTTGATGCACCACTACCATTCCAGGTTGCTTGATACATAAAACAGAAGAGAAACAGAATATTATTATGGGTCTAAGACAATATTCGAGCGATCAACCATTTTTTGACAAGATTCCGGCGTTTTCGCACATGGCACTTGACAACGGTTCTACTGAAGTAAGCAGTAAGCTGCAACGGTCTGTAACAACATCGTCGCATACCAGACCCAAAAGGGCATTCTCTTAAAAAAAAAAAACAAAAAAAACACTCTTCGACAAATTACTTCGTAGTGCAATCGATCTACGGAACTGAGACTCCATCTGCGAGTCTGAGATTGGATGATCCGTGTTCGTCTCTTTTACTGTACAGAAGAGTACAGGCTTAACCATTAAAAGAATAGGCTGTCTAAAGGTGATGTTACACGGAACGATTCGCAACACAGCGTTGCAATACTGGAACAATGTTGTGACCATTCGAAACGATGTCGCAACAATGTTGCAACGCTGTGTTGCGCTAAAAATCTTCGTTGCGAATCGTCTCGTGTGACATCACCTTAAGGGCGTGGGAGTGAATTATTTCATCACCGCATTTTATTGATTAGCTGGCTGTAGTAACATGCAATCCCGTGAGTTCCGCAAAGACATCGTGCTTAGCATTATAGTACTTTGTTGGCGTGGTTCTGGAAGTAGAGCTTGTAATAAAAAACAGTCGTTCAACACTTTGGAAAAGAATTACAGTATAAATTCTATTGATCGACAAGAATTTGTCGGCCTCACTTTCAAGTTTCAAATCTTGAGTATGCTGTAAATAAGATATAATAGAACAGTAATAAAAGTTTAAAAAGGAACTAATTTGAGACAGAATATGCACTAATCGCTGAAATCCTTGGCAACTGCCTTTGAATTCGTAGTGAAGTGCCTCACCTGATTCGTAGCACAGCAAGTTCCCAAACACCCAATAATCGAGCCAGCCAGGGTCGTAATCGTGCCCAGTGCAGAAAATATGGTAATGGCGAGGAAGAGACCGTCAATCAAAGAAATAAGCTCGCATGTCTCCACTTGACGAAATGAAGAAAATAGAAAACCAAAAAATAAGCCTCGTCCCACTAACACATGTTTATAAAAAATTATTGAACTTCGGCCTATGTAAAACACTGCTGCTTCAGTTTGGCCTAAAAATATGGTGGGGTCCCTCCCCTAGATCTGCCAATGGTCTGTAAACAATCGGTTTCTTCTACATCAAGAGGTAAAATAAGTGCATTATTCTTGGAGTTTCCTGAGACACTAACTCAAGTTTGCCTCACTATAATATTGGCATGTCCTACACTAAATCTCCATATTTTCGGTAAAACAATCCTGTATTGCAAGGAAATAAGGATGGTCCCGCCGGTGTACGGTTAATACAGACTTAACTGTACTTACATTCAATAGGAATAGATTCGCCTTTGCTGTTTCTACAATGACATCGACCACGATATACCCTACAGTCCGCTGCAACCTGGAACAGACTCCAGAAGACGTACGCTATAGCTGCAATGGCGGCTTGGATAATCATGACAATCACCAGAATAATGCACGTCACGAGGAAAAATATCATCTGTTGGATAATGAGAGTTGTTTTTGGTACTCGTATGAAACTACACTACATAAAAGTTGTCAACACTTAGCCGCATTCGACAAGGAAGAGTCAAGAAGCAAGGGAAAAAAGAATCAATATTTTTCTAAATTTAGGTTTTGCGGGACTCATCTTTACCACCACCATTATCATCGTCAGCGTATCGTCACCACCATCATCATCATCATCAAAGTTAAACAGGTTCATTTTTATAACAAAAAACGAAAGCACTTACCAAGTTCTTGTTTCTGTTCCGCCATATTATCATACCCAATACGGCAGCAAAAATCAACTGCAAGTAAAGATAAGTGAAGTAAAGTAAAGAAAGAAAGTTTTAATTCCCTTTCAAGACAGAAGATTATAAATGTTATTCTTCAGCGGCGGATCTACGGGGGAGAGGTGGGGGGACCGAGGGACCCAGGCCGCCAACATATTTTTAGCCCAAACGGCAGTCCGCAGGATCAAGGAAATTGTTTTCGATGCTGACCCCTCTCTTATTGTAGGGACTGGATAAGAGCTAATTATAACTTACGTAAAGACTACAAATCTAAATTTGCTTCTTTTCTAGAGAAACCCAAGTTTTCGACATCGAAAAAAGGGCTGAAGCTAAACATGAGCTCTTAACTTAAAACGAAAAACATATTGTATTATATTTTGACTAAATTCTCAGCAGCCGCATCCTAACGACTCGTAAAAAGATTTCCATAAATCAACGAGTGTACTTGACAAAGTCAGGATTTGCTATTAAAATGATCTTCTTTTGCCTGACGCAGTGGACGAATAAGCATTAGTTTTGAGTTAGGTCAATCTTTAGGAAATGTTCCCTTGAAAAAACAAGGTCGTATTGGACTTGATAAATCAGTTAAATCTGTTAATTTAATATTGTGTAGATGTACGGCGTAGCAGGTGTCGAACACTATTCTAACTTGTCTATCAAGAGCACTGATGTTTTTGTATATTTGCTCCACGAGCAGTGAAATCTTAGGTTTATAAGGGGCCTGTGAGTTAAAAAAATTGGTTAGTATCCGCGTGCAGTGTCAGATTTTGGAGCAAGCAGTGGTCAGGGAACATTAATTCACGGCACTCAATCTACGTCGGTAAATCCTCCTCGAAAGATTTAATGGTTTTGATATGCAAATATGAGGAAGACTGAAGGAGAATTGATTAAAAAGGTAAACAATTGAGACAATATGGCACCTTAGTTAACTGACAGATCACAAGATCCGTTCAGAAAGAAGTTGCGCAGTTAATACATTTCTTTATAAGACTTTTATAGCTTGATCCTAATGCTTCATGAAATTTGAAGTATTTTTTTTTTAAATTTGTGAAATCTAAAGTCATTTTTCAGTTTAATCAAACCTTTATAACGCATACCTATTTACACGCAAATTAAATGCAAAGAGCAGGGTTACTTTTAAGAAACCAAGCGTAGTAGTAAGCGTCTCTTAAGTACCTTGCCGCTATCAGAAGAGAGTTAAGAAACCCATCACTTACTTATTTCTTTTCCCTATATTGACGATGGAAATCCTCTCTCAATATTAGTAGCACTGCACCAAATCATTACGCGAGTATAAATTATTGAATCAACAACGTCGGCTGCTTTGCAGTGCGGAAACTGTATCCATGAGGTGACTCGATAGCCAACTCTTAAAGCGAGAATTTGTTCATGCGATATCTCAAGACCCTCAGCCGCGATGAAAGGCAAAAAAGCCTCCAAGCTAAGAGTCCAACAGTACTTTTCCAAGACACCCACACATGCAATATTCTGAAAGCGCACACCATACTTTTTCATTAAAAGCACAGTCCTTAAAACAAATAAACCTTTACAGAGTATTTTTGACGAATATTTCAAAGATTGGAAGTTATAAGAACTCCCTTTGGAAAAAGGAAATTCAAGGAAAATTAATAAAATGAAAAAAAAGAAGAAACTTAATTTTCTATTGCTAGCCTTCTAGAATCAAATATATATTTCTCTTGTTCGAAATTAACAACACATGGATAAAAAATCAAAATTTCCGATATGAAGTGAAGTATGGGACGATAGAGAGGTAAAACTAACTTTGTTTAGACTAAGTATGAGTTAATTGTTTAAGAAAAGCGAAGTCTTCGGGCTAAACGACTTATCGCCATCGCCGGCTGCACCTCATGTGTCCGTTGCCTCAACGCCTATTTGCACTGTTTTCTTGACTTCCCTCCGTTGTCCAATAACTTAAAGGAAGCGTATATATATGGTATCTACACACTGAAGTGCTTTATTTCCAGATAAATAGTAACAAAATAACCTACCCCAAAGCCAGACCATAGTCCGTGTCCTCCGTATCCATTATGTCCAAGCCAAATGAAGCCACAGATCACATTTCCCAGACCACATATCCCCACTGCTATTCCAACGATGCCAGTAGTTTTTGCTAGGTTAGCTTCTACCAAATTCGACATAGTTATTTTGTTTCGAAGTCAAACCAAGGGCGACTCGTCAACGTTCGTCGAACATGCGTCTGTGAATCGTCTGGCAGGTAATGCGGTCAGTCACCTGCTCTCATCCCATCCAATAACATTCTCATGATATGCAAATGCATACTTACCGGTGTTCACATCTGTGTTGTTGGAAGGTCGAACAATAACAAAAAAACAAGGTTATACTCAGGGGGAAGGGGTACTCAACAAAGTTTTCTATAACAGGAGTCTCCGCCACCACGACCAACCCCTTACCCTTTTAGGTATGAATAAATACTGAAACAAGGAACCCCCTGAAACGACCTGAAACTAGCCTGTGTACAGACGTCCCCCGTCCCTCAGAAAAAAATTTTTTTCAGAGGGAGGGGGGACGTCTGTACACAGGTTACCTGAAACCACCTAAAACCTAACCTGAGATCAGGCCCAATTTGAGCGGTTCTCAAACATTCTTTAATGGAGGGGAATACTGGACAAAAATGTTATTGGATCGTACGATAAGGTGCATTATATCGAATTTGCCAGTATACTGTCTTACCGTACCCAGAATGTTGTTATGTCGTACTCGGTGATGTTGTATTGTAACCGGAACAATGTATTATCGTATTCGGTAACCTTATATCGTAACCAGAATAGTATTGTATCGTACCTCAATGCTAATGTATCGTACCCGGTAGACATGCATCGTAACTTGTATGTTGTTGTTTCGAACTCAGTAACCTGATATCGTACCCGATAGCATCATGTCGAGCTTTCTTTCAAGTCGTACAAGGTGAAAATACCGTATTTATTGGAATAAGCGCCCAAACTCGAATTAGCGCCCACCTCGAATAAGCGCCCATCCTAAAGGCAGAAAAAGATAATAAGCGCCCAGCCTCGAATAAGCGCCCACCCCCTCCTTCCCCCAATCAAACTCAAATAAGCACTCACCCCCACCCCACCCAATTAAGTGAATAAGTTCCAATAAGATACTTCCTTGAGGACGGAGTTTTCTTCAGAGTATTTTACAGAAACCTTGCTTTGTTACTTCTTCGCGTTTTGTTAGTAGCATTTATTATTTTGTTGCAAAATAAACATACTTCACTTGCTGAAAATGGTGAAAATTTAATAAGCGCCCAGCCTCGAATAAGCGCGCACCTCGAATAAGCGCCCACTCTCAAGGTCCAAAAATTTAATAAGCGCCCCGGGCGGTTAATCGAATAAATACGGTATGCAATATGGTGAGCAGCTTTCCAATTTGTGCAGTTAGGTACTTCATAAATGATTATTATAGTGAACCGTATATGTATAATGAGCTTGCTATCATAGGGTGCTTTTAATATATCATTTGTTGCTTTTAATATATCATTGGAGTACGATACAATACTATTCTGGTTACGATATAAGGTTACCAGGTACGATAATACATTGTTCCGGTTACAATACAACGTCACCGAGTACGACATAACAGCATACCGGGTACGGTAAGACAGTATATACAGGCAAATTCGATATAATGCACCTTATGGTACGATCCAATAACATTCTTGTCCAGTATTCCCCATCCCTATAAAAATACCACATAAACGTTTTCCTGCAGCCTGAAAAGACGGAAGTGGTACCCCTTTCCTCCACTTGAGAAATTTCTACGCTTTCACATACCTGCAGCCTGAAAAAGGTACCCCTTTCGGACGGAGCCTCCCCTTAAAGGTCACACCCCCCGGGTTATACCTTTAAGCTTTAAGAGTGATCGGCATCAAATTTCTCCTTGTAATATCAACACTTTTTTTTAAGTGTTTTGGTCATGAGAATTAGAGATGACCACAGAAGACGAATTAATAATACTCTAACAACTTCTCCCTACTGCTTCTATAGCAAGTGTATAGAGACAACAAATGAGAATTAAGATTTTGATGTAAGGGTTTAAGAGTTAAGTCACTTTAAAAATTACAGTAGAATCCCGATTTCTACCCCCAAGATTGCTCAACTCGCCTAGTTTTCAGTTGCAATGCTAAAAGCATCAAGCCAAGCATAGTTCGAGTCCTTGTTTGTTATGTCGCCCCGCTAAAAAGGGCCTAGACGTAAAAGCAAGAACAATGGCAGAAAAAATCTAAACGATCTGCTTTTTCCGTTTCCTGTGCTTGCGTCGGCTTTCGTTTTCCGGACTTGACGCAAGACTCAGTATTGCCGGGCCTATTACTTAAACCTTATTTTGCGTTATGCTTGCATCGCTTGTGAACACTAGCTTGTCGATATTGGCATCTAATACTAAGAGAACAACAAAAATAGGGATTCCCGGAAAGGCAACAGTAACTTGAAAAAAATATGTATATCTGTTCTCTGAAAACAAAAATATGTAGGTATTTATTAAGCTGATGAACCAAGAAAGAAAACTAAAAAAAAAAACAAAACAAAAACAAAAACAAAAAAACACGGGATCAATATTACCATAATAATTTTACATGCCACATAAGCCAGAATGAGTGTTAACCTAACCACCGTAACATGCACTAGTTTTAAATAGCCGAAACCAATCGTGGAATCGCACGCATTTCGGCCTCCTACTGATAAGACTGTTCCAAGCGTTCAGATAGTAGAGTGCGGCGCCAAGTAAGAGAGGTGGGGGGAGGGGGGGAGGTGGTAACAAGGGGGGAGAGAGAAATAATGAGACAGCAGGAGGTTCCCTTGCTCTCACCCCCTACTCCAGCCTCTTCGCTGCTTTGGCTTCTTACATCTTTTTGTACTGTCCCTTCCATCTAAACGCCTGGAACAGGCTACCTTCTAATAAACAGTTACTGCACTTGAATACTTGCAGGAGCAACAAACAGTCAAACTCAATTAAACACGGTGAAACTGTTTAGTGTTTATTTTTCTGTCTACTTGAGCAGGCAGATGCGCTAAAATAACAGATAAAAGTCTAGACAATATTGCAACGAATATTTACATCAATTATTGCTTACAGTCATTATAGTCCAGTCAGTCTATAATTTTTACTCTCAACGAGACTGAAATTAGTTCGCATTTTGAGTAAAGCTTTGACCGTAACACCAGCAGTGACTTTGTTACAAATAGTTAGGGTGAGTCCAGGCACTCATATTGTGAACAAATCATGAGTCCCTGTCCAGAACCGTTGAGTCCCACTTCAAAAAACCAATAAGTCGTGAATTGAAAATGCTTACAAAACCATCTTCAGATCGATCGATTGATTGATTTTTGCGTCCTACAGGATGCATGCCATGAACTTTCGTGCGTCTTTGGGGATTTTTATGCGTCAGGGATGCAGGACGCAGAGGTAACAAAAACACTGCACCAGGTGGAATTTCCTTTGCAATAACAACCTTGGGGCTTTTTAAGCGCTTGTTAAATATAAGTGGTCTTGCTACAATATTACTACGGAACTACGGAACGGAAAATCTGTACCACTTGATAAAAAGAACAATAGTTTCCTGGTCTCAAAGACCAGCCTTTTAAAGGACGCATGAAAACTTTAAATATAATCTCTACCCAGAACTATGATAAATCACCTGGATACAAGATTTCAATAATAAAACAATGACATTAATGATCTCGTATTTAGCATTTTTTTCTCACTTTGAAATTTCAAATTAATAGTAATGATGTGAAAATTAAGCTGTGTCAGAGACAGACTTAAATTAATTAAAATATTTCTACAAACTGCCTGCTTTAATACTTGCAAAGCTCTTAACTCTGAAAAATAAATAAGAAAGGAAAAGCATGAGCATACAAAAAAATCATTCATATGGATATAAAAGACATAATATTGTAATATTGTACTCCATCTCAATATTATACTGTTCTATGCAAATGCATTAAAAACAAGACACTAACAACCGAATTCCATGCCTACAACTTTCTTGCCTGCGTGCAGACGTCTCCTATTTTCCTTTGTGTGCAACAAAGGAAATAGGAGACGTCTGCACCCAGGCAAACAACTTTCTATCTGTACAGTCTAGAGATAACACAGGTGAAATGGCGTTGAAACTGCAACAGTGATCAGGACAATCACATATACAACAGTAAAATATGCTCAATATGCGAAACCATGGGTTTTGAAATTCTGCCTGGTGACATACATCCCTCACCTCAGAGGACCTTGTAAATGCATACTTTTAGTCTTGGACCCATACAACCAAAGAAGAAATCTTATGTTAAGATACTTAGAAGAACTGTTATTCCCCTTTATTACAACTTACAAAGTAAGGGAATCAGTATGAAGATGAGTAACTTTAAAACTAAGGGCCCTTTTCAGAGGTTGGAACTGCCTGGCTAGGTACCGGTTTCTTGAAAGTCCCAGTAGCTTTTCAGGCCCGAAAAACTGTTTTATGTTTACCGTGTTTGCACCTAAGATCAAAGTTTCCATAATTTTGAAAATGATACAATGAAATTATTAGTTAACTAAGCAAAATTGACCGGTTTTAGAGCTATGAACTGTGCTACCATTCAACAGGTTTTACAGTCAACTCTCTCGGACACCTTTGGGACCGGCACTAAGTTTGCCTAAGTGTCCGTCTTAGAGAGGTGTCCGTCTTATAGAGAGTCAAATAAAAGGAGTAAAGAAGGGCAGGGATCAACTCTAAGTGTCCGTTTTACAGAGAGGTCCGTCTTATAGAGGTGTCCGTTAAGAGAGAGTCGACTGTAATTCTAAAATTTACCTTTGGGCCCAAAAAGTTTCCGAGCCTTTCAAGAATTAAACGGGCTTTAGAATGGTCATGTTGAAATAATCAATGAGGTGAGTGTTTTTAAGAGTTTTTGGTGAAAAACCCACAAACTGCATGCATATTATTTAGGAATTGACTGATCTGGCAGGAGAGTTTTCAGTGTGAAATACTTATTTTAACAGGAATGGTCTGGTCAGCCAGTTCTGACAAATGGAAAGCACATTAAGAGAACTGTCTGTGACTAAAAGTTGTCCAGCAGAATACGTTAAACTGTATTAGCAGAAAACACAGCAGTTATTGTTTTACCTGAAAAACGTCAAATTCTAATCTGAATGTTTCACTGGGCTACGTGAGCGACTGCGTCTTCGACTGTATCTCCCCCTGAAAATACAACAATGTAAGCACTTGGCAACTACTCCTGCAGGGGTGGGGGAGGGGGTGCACTCTTAATTTTGAAAGGGGTATTTACCCCAGCCTCCTTATATTACCTATTTCTGGACAGCTGAAAAAACTTACTGTGAATAGTCCTGGGATCTTGGTGGTGGAGATCTACAGACACAAATGTAAAAAAGATGAAAAAGTCAGCAAAGTAAGGAAATCATTGATGACAATAATTAAAAAGACATTTATGATGGGTGGCAAATAAAATGGGCCATGTAAAATTCCAACTTTGCTCAGAATCCAGAAAACATCATTAACTCTCTTCAAAACCAAAAAAAATACATTCTAAAAAATGGCCAACCCCAGTAAGGTTAGCAAAATGGTTCTCAGGTTTGCAAATTTATTTGTTCAAACAGAAATTTATTTTTGTCCAGTTACAGTCCATCATCTGGTCCTGACACTTTCTGGCTTTCAATTCTCTCTTAGATAAATCTAACTGTTTTTATAAAATAGCTAAGATAGTACACGCGCTCTGATTGGCTGAGAGGCGTGTTTGCCTGAGAGTATGTAAACATGGTTGTGACGTCAAGTAATAATATTAATTAATATGTCTATAGTTATCTATATCTCACTTAAAAAGATTTTTTGTTATGATGACATTATATAAAAGTCAAAGAGTACTATGCACAAGTATGAATAAGGCAGCTTTATTACTGCTAACCGTTACCATCTGAGAACAACAAACAAACCAGCACATAAGTTATTATTTTCACTAAAATGAAGAGGTGCACGTGGAAAAGGAAGGGACTCTCATTCTCAAGTCAAATCATATTGTTATTGTTGTCCTTACATTTTATAAGCAAACCGAGGGAAACTTCTAGGATATTGCAGCGCTCTATTAGAAGGACCCTTGGGGCACTTTCTTCAGGCACCCCTTCACATAAAAAATTTGCAGCAAAATACAAAAGGTTAAATAAATCTAATTAAACTTATAACTCCAGCTGTTAGCCACCCAAATGTACTTACGTGAAGACACAATAGACTATTTCTACCCTTAAGACACTTACATCTGAGCTACCCGGTGATAAAATTGACAAGTAAAGGTGTTTTGATGCTTCAATATAATCAGCGTCAGGACTACATATACTAAGCCTCATTGGTGTCATAAGATGACTTGGGCAACCTTAGCTCTTCTAGGGGTGAAATTCTTCTGTCATCTGCAGACATTAGCAGCACTGGAAGCTGCTGGAAACAAGTTGACTGGAACAATCCTTTAGAGGAAAAACCTTCTTGCCCTCACATGGATGCAGAACTTAAATTTACTTCTGACTAATGGCTTGCATGGATTTTTGGTGTAAAAATACTCCTGCCGACACATCAAACCAAAACAGAAGCATGCACAGACTCAATTTGGGGGGAGAAGTGCAATGAAGTAACATCCACTTTTTGCTGGTTGAGCGAAATCTGTGAAAACTACACAGGAAAGCAGCTAAGGTTTGAAGAACTGAGCCTAAAATGTTGTAAGGGACAGATGACGTAGAGTGGTGAGGAAAAATGCTTCTGCTGTTGACTGGGTTGCAGGTTTTTCACTTAATTAACAGGTGTTGGAGGGATTGAAGGATGTGTAGTCCCAGATGTAATGCAGAACTTTGTCGAGAGCTTAAAATTCTTCTCTGATCAGAAGAGATGTTGAATGGGTTTGGAAGGACTAAAAACCCTTGAATGAATCACCTATAAAAATGGTAATCATGACAGTTAGTAAGGCTCTCTCCCCTGCACATTCAAATAACCTAATAAAGTAAAATGAAAAATAAAACGTTTTTTTTAAAAAAATGTTAGTTCTTTACAAAGTAATATCAATAATAACATGGTTTCAGTCAGCACAGAAGCATATAACCCTGTCCAGGGTTATATGTTTCTGGTCAGCATTAAAGCACAAATGAAATGGAATGTTGGTCAAGAATAAAATATAATGTTTTGATTTCATTTTCAACTCAACATACAATGTTTGGCAGTACCAAAATACAATTCTTGGCCAGAGTACGAGACTAAAATTTCCTTCTGACCACTTGAATGCACACAAGTTAAATTGTTTTATATAATTTAATCTTCTCTGAAAACAACCAATCTATTCCATTTCATGTACACTTTAACGGTAAAAAAGGTAATAAAGGCAAGGTTAATACCTCTGATGAGACTGTGAGAATCGTTGACTGCCATAATCTCCACGGCCATAGTCATTTCGTCTGCTATCATCTCGCCTGTCATACCTACTGCTGCTTCCTCGGTAACCGCCTCCACGACCTCCTCGTCTCCCACCTCTACCCTCTTCACGGTTTCTAGTCCTTGAAAGTTCAACTCGTAACTTTTTATCACCAAGACGCCTTCCATCCATAGCTCTAACAGCTTCCTCTGCATCTCGGAAATCTTCATAATGCACAAAGGCAAATCCTGGGGGACTGCGTGCTACCCATACATCACGCAGAGTTCCATATTTGGAAAAAGCTCTCCATAGCTCTTGCTTGTCACCACTGTTGCCTAAACCACCTACATAAACTTTTTCGGACATATCCTCTAAAAAAAAATTGGATGGTAAAGTTGCAAAAAATTGAATTCCATCTTTTCCCAGTATACAAGCTAATATTGATAGAGGGTTATAAATATCCACATCAATAAAATATACTAACTATGGATTCCGAAATGTTAAGACTTTTTGCCAAAGTTTTTGCTGATTGACTCCCGAAAAGACAATCACTAGGCTTTTCGGGCCAATGCTAGCTCGGGGGAACCCTAAATGATAGGAATGGGGACGCTTGTTGCCAAATTGGAATTAAACCCCATAAGGCGAATCATCACAACCATTCATTCAGTCTTGCTCTTTTTACTGAAGGACATAGCCTAGAGTTTGGCATTTGGCATGAGTTTCTGTAGTCAAGTTTATCCTGAAATTGCTTAGCGTCAGCGAGATGCTATTTACAGTTGTTAGGGAAATCTCCACTCCTGATACATGATGCTTCCATATTCAGTTGAAAACTGTTTCTGGGTATATCAACCAAAAATTACTCTTATTATGAACGGGCATATACCGTAAATGATCTAATAAATGCCCACTCTCAAAAAAACGCCTCTTATCTAATAAACCCTCCTCCTATGCTGTTAAGTTTGTATTAAACGCCCCTGTCTAATAACCCCCCCCCCCGGTAAAAATTGCTCCAAAATACTAGGAAACGGCAAAATGGAGCAAAATCAATCAATTTATCAATTTCATTGTTTGATTAACGTCGGCTTGTGTATTATGTCATGTTCAATTTCAAGTTCAAAGTGGATAGCACTCTTTGATCTTCTTGATCTCGGTGCGTACTCGTTAAAGTACCCTCTTGATTGTAGCAAAAGAGAAAAAAAGTTAAATTAGAAACCTTGGAGTGCAAAAGCCGTCGGCCTGCAGTTGAGATTCTGTTAACACACAAACCCTTTTGGCCAAAAGCTTATTGTATTAAAAGTTACAAGAATAAACTCCTCTCTCTTTTAAACGCCTCCCACCTATAAAAGCCCCCTCTTGGACCCTAAAATTTAATAAATGCCCCCGGCGTTTAATAGATCATTTACGGTAAACCTCATTAAAATCCCATCTCATCTCATTGTTTATTTTACGTTGACACGTACCACTGTTGCACAGCTACAAATCATTCATTACAACGATGTCGCATTAATGCAAATGTTGCATCAATGACGTCAACCAAACTGGATGTGATTCTAAAAGAAATTTTCTTCCTTTGAAACCATTCACAAGGTAAAAACCTACTTCATAAAGAATTTGTCACAGTAATTGTAACTAACTTAGCTTTAAAAAATTACATTCGCTTCATGTTGTTCATTAAAAAAACGTACCCTTCACGGCTTGGTATAATCTTGTGTTTAACAAATCGAGCGAGAGGGTTTTTTAAAAATACAAGATTGTATATTAGCGACTAGTATTATCTCTTTAAAAGGAATCAGTACGAATTTAATCATATTAAAACTTGATTGAAACTGAATCATGAAAAGTATCCTTACTAACAAGAATTGAACGAAGACAAACACCATCCTTCTTCACTACAAAATGTAAGGTTTCATTTTGAGAGTTTTGACAGCTGGTGGAAATTTCGAACACCGTAAAAATTTCACTTTGAAAGCAAATAGTCCATTTTAACCTTTCGTAATAAAAAAGACATAATACTTTCAACTTCCTCACCTTTAAATCCCGTAAATAATTGCTTAATACGCAGGTAAAACTCCTAAAAATTCTCGCACCTTTACAAACTTCCTCTATGTTTTTGTTTTCGTGCAAATGAATACGTCCAACAAGGAAGGGTGTGACGTCATAGTAAGTAGTCACGTGGGATGCGCAGCTGGTGTCACCTGCTAAATGGGGTGTGACTGGAGCCGATGGGTATATCCAAGGGCACGGGTTACATGCTTCTGGCGTCGGCTCAGTTTTTTGTTACGGGTAAAGATAATAATACCATCGAACAATATAACGTGAAAAAGTAGTCAGTGTGGAAGAGGCTGGTCTACTCCTGATTTTCATTATATATTCTGCTCGTCAATTTTTATAAGCATTTTACACGACCAAGCCTTCTTTTACGACTACATTCATTCCACCCAAAATTAAAATCGTCAAAATCTCTCTCTGGTAAGTATATAAGAGGAAAACAGTGACGATATATAAGTAATACGTGTAAAACTTTCATATAAGAGGAGAACGGAATTTTGATTTGTTTAAACATCAGGCTCATGTCGTCAGCTTTGGTGGAGAGCTGATCTCCTATGCATGGCATCAACGACAACCAAATTTAGAAGACCGGAAACCAAAACTATACATGTTTTTAAAGGGAACAGACGGCAAATTGTTGATGCTGGAAATATCTATAAGCCGTAACGTAATTACCTTTTTTGAAGAAGATCGGCCTCTTTTTCCTTTATTACAGAGTGAACCCATGGCCCGCCAAGGAGAGGAGGATGTTTGCAAAGGAAGGCGAAAAAGAGTCTATGTTTAATCACTAAGCTGTAATAATCTGTTCATGTTGTCCTTCAGCAGCATAATTAAAAATACGCAAAACTATTCTGGTGAGGCCTTAAACTGCTGTTTAAAAAGTAAAAACTAAAATCCAAGTTTTCACTCACTAGAACAGTTTTACTAAGCTGTAAAAACACATAAATAAATCTGGAAACTGAGTCTAAACCAAAACAATGCACTGGTTGAAGAGATAACGTGGAGCTACAGAATGCCTTGGGCGCTATACGGTAAGTCATATTTCCTTCTAAAGTTTAAAACCAGATATCTACCCACTTTGAAAACAAACCAGTTGACTTCAGATACTTATGCTTTATTAATAGCAAAAACCTAGCCAATCAGTTCTATTTAAAATACAAACAGAATTGCGAGAAAAAATATAAAATGATAAAAGGGGAAAATAAGAATACAAATAACAAAAACGTTGTCAGGTGAGGGTGATTAGACAGAATCAGATTCACTTATTTAAAAGTGTCCTTGCAGACTTAATTTTGCATCGAATTTTTGTGATTTTTTTTCAAAAAATGATGAGTTCTATAGAGACACAGGAGCCTATAACCGATTAGTTAGATTTTCAGGCTATTTTTTATTCATCTTTCGCTATAAAATACTCTGACCAAATCAGAGCAAAGAAGGATTTCAACAACGGTGGATGAGATCAAATATGAGTGAAGTGAAAGGAGTTTGCAGGTTGAAAGTCCCAGGAAGTAAGAACCAAGGAAGCTCTATTTAGGGGATCAACTGCCAAAAGAAACCTAAGTATAGTCGATGATGGCCGGCTTCAACATCATGAAACACCAGACAAACAGTAACATATTTTAAAAAGTAGTAATAAAAGCATGACTAAAACCTTGAGACGAAGGACTATATGATGAAAAGTTAGTAAAAAGAGCTAAATGGAAGTGGGTAACTATTGAATATCCTGGCCATCGAGAAATGATAGTAACTTGTTCAGATCTGGGCAGCTTGTTACCATATCTTGATACTTGTGCAAGACCTAGGGGAACATGAAAAGTTCAGTTATTCTTTGAACCCTGACGACGTTCTTATATCATTCTTGTACTGTATTGCTTGTTATTTTTAGTGTTTTAAAGGAGCCATGTCGATATTTCAGCATCATTTTCAAAAGCATTAAACTTAATTGTTTGTCAGAAAACGGAAAAATAATGATCATGTATGGTCAACTGCAGGAATAATATGACTAAGATCAATGAAAACGCCGGCAAAACGCCGTCAAAGGTGGGTAGAGAGAATTTTAAGCGTCTTTCCCACGCAGTCAATGTTTTCTGACTCGCTCTTATCAGACAAGGTACTGAAGGGTTTACAGCCTGTGCAGCTAACTACAATTTGTAGGTACTTTTAAAAGTCTAATGGTAGGCAAGGAAGAGTGCTTGAAGTTACGTAATGTGTCTGAGGGCACTACTCCGATCATGGGAGAGAATTTCCAATTTCTTATTCTTATTATCTCTTATTCAAAAGCTAACATTTGCTTGTACACGTAAATAGTTGGTGATAAGTGAGTTGATGGTGATAGAAGAAAGAAACGTCGTCAAATCTCTTGCAGCGTCGTGTTTTTTGTTCTTCTGATAAGATAAGAATAGAATAACAAACTACAACTTACCAGTCGAATCTTTTCTAGCAAACCATCTAGGCGGCAGATCTCCGCTTCAGCCTTCTCAATGTTGCCTTCAAGGACTCGTATCTGTAGAAAATATGATAAATGCGCATATTAGGTTACAGTTGAAATTACAACATTACATCATGGAAGTTGTGTACTACTGCCGGGAAAAAATCAGAAAAAAGCAAACAAACAATAGAAAAACCGAGGATTGCCTTTACTCAGGAAGGGTTTCAACCTGGCAAAATTGTTTCCAGCCCTTTCAAAAGCATTAAAAGATGGTAACCTCCCTAAAACGGACACTTAGAGTTGGTCCTTGCCATACTCAAGTTATTTTCTTTTACTCTCTATAAAGCGAAGACTTCCTTAACGGACACCTACGAGTTGGACCCTGGTGTTCGCCAGTCATTTTCCTTTACTCTTATATAAGACGGGCATTTCTGTAAGTGACGAAACTTATGGTCTCCAACACGGCGTCCTTCTTAGAGAAAGTTCACTGTTCTACGCCTGTGCATGAGTTGTGACTTCAACTTAAACAATTTTGTGCCAACTTTACATTACCACATTTATGACAGTCGGTGCTGCAGATCTCTCTCACTTAGACTCGTTTTTTTCCAATATGTCAACAGAACTTGGCGGAAGAAGAAATAAATAGGGGGAAGGGGACGGGAGATGGTCAGACGTGTTACCTTTGTATTTGTTCTGTACTTGTATTCTGACATATAGTCTTCAGTCTGCATACGATAGTTTACAGACTTCTCTTTCAGCGTTTGTATCTACAAGCAGGGAAACAAATTTTCACAACTGAATTCATCTCATATCGCAGTCACAAAATGAAATAGTTTCTGGTTTTCGCCCTTCATAAAGGTACCTTTGGGGAGCAAGGGATGGCGCAGTGGTGAGAGCCGAGCGCTCGCCCCCCACCAATGTGGCCCGGGTTCAAATCCTGGTGTCCACGCATAGGTGGGTTGAGTTTGTTGTTGGTTCTCTCCCTTGCTCCGAGAGGTTTTTCTCCGGTTACTCCAGTTTTCCCCTCTCCTCAAAAACCAACAGTTCCAAATTCCAATTCGACCAGGAATAAGGTAGCCGAAGAACCACTTTGTGGATGTGCTACCTCCTAATCGTTATTCATTTATTTTATTTATTTACCCTTTCAATGCCGTTATGGTCGGGATCGTAATAAAAATATATAACGCTAATGGAAAGAGTGAATGCAATTCCCACCCAAAGACTCTCAATTTGGATGCGACAGGACTCAGTGAGGACTAGTTCGGAGAGGCATAAGATGCTTCGGAAACTCATACACACTCAACTATCGCCATACCCACACATAAGCTCTAATTCTTTTCACCAAGTGTAATTTGGGTAGGAAAGACTCATGTTTGACGGTTGTTAGTGCCCTAAAGAGTTGAGTGGCACTGACTTTGGAGATGATGAAGATTAGTGAACTCTGAGTTTGGGGCGAGGAAAGAGACCACCTGACCTTTACGGACAAAGAACAAAGCGAGTAGGACGAGTTCCGATGGGCCGTACTCCAATTTAAGAATAAAAATCAGCTAAAGCTAACTATAGAAATATTGCCTCCATTATAAAATCCGCAATCCCATGTAGGAAGCATTCCAAAAGCGTCAGAATTCCAATCGTCACAGTTTTTCTGCCCAGAGTTTGCTAAAACAAGCTACACCTTAAACGGTAGTTTGTTTTCGGTTTTAGTAATCGACAGCACATTCAAAGAAATGACTGTACATTACCTTCTTTTCCAAATTGAATTTTTCCTCCAACATCGTACCAAGAAGGTGTTGTCTGTTGTTAACGTCAGGCTGGGTTTGTGAAAGGTCATCAAGCTTGGCCAGACTTTCTTTCAACTGCTGCGACACACTCTCATTTTCAACTTCCATTGCCTTGATGTCTTTAGTAAGGCGCCGAAGATCTTCAGTGAGCTCCTGGTGCCAAAACAAAACAAGCTTAACGGATTTTTTTGTCAGAATAAGCTACAGTGTTTGGCATGTCTGCAGCAAGGAGAAGAATCTTTTCTTCCGATTTATAGTGCTGAGACTCTTTTTAGAGGATCTGCAGAGAACTAAAATAACCAAGCTAAAAGAGACTTGTAAGAACAAAGACATACAAAGAAAGCTCACAAGATAAGTCTTGCATTATGTTTTACATAAACAGTGTAGCCACTGAACCATACGCATTAGCATCGAGGATCTAAAATAAACCCAACTATGTCCCTAACTTTAACGAGGATCTAAAATAAACCCAACTGTGTCCCTAACTTTAACGATTTTAACATTGGATAACAACAGCAAATTGTGTTTCCTCGTCCTATCTTCGATATTTCCCTCCACAGGCTAAACTGAAATGTACTGCTAATGACAGTAATGAGAATAGTGATAGTAATTATCGGTAAAACAATCGGTCTGTCCATGTGGCCCTCTCAGCTCCGCTGAGGCCTCTTTAGGGAGTTTTAGCATCGTCGACGGCGACGGCAGCGAAAACGTCACTCTTAAAACGAATTAGCGTTTTTTCAAACTTTGTCGCATTTATTCCAATTCGCTGAAAATGTCTACTGTAGCCAAATTCCGCTAGAGTTGATTTCTTGGGAAAGGCACTCGAGTTTAGAAAGAGAAAGAAAGTTTCGTCGTCGCTTGTTTACGTCCTCCATAAAACGTAAAATTAGGCATTTTCACCTCGTAGTCGTGCAGAAACGACAAAGAAATGTGCAAAAAAGCCTGATGCACGTGCAAACCTTTAGTTTTGCTTAATAAACCTATTGCTGTTTTGACGTTCTCGTTGCCGTCGCTGCTAAACCTCCCTTTTGTGTCGTCGGGAGGCTGGGTTCCCAGCGACAGCCTCTGCGGAACAGAGAGCATAGTGGCTAGAATTCTTTTTTTGGCTTAGTCGATACAAAAAAGGGAAAATTCAGTTTTTACCGTTACTTTAGCCTGTTGGTCAATAGTTTTCTCGTACTGTTCACTGAGAGATTCGACTTTTCTAAATGTATACTCCAGATTGGTTCGACTCTCCTCAAGCTGTTTCTGAAGAGAAGTTAATTCGCTGCTTTTCTTTGACAACTCTCGGCGCAGACTGGTTTCTGATTTTCTGGAGTCTTCAAGTTCTTTCTGGAGATTTTCAAGCGCTGACTTGTGTTCCTTTCCTAATGAAACTCTACCAAAACAAAAAAAATAATAATAAAAAAATAATGGATTAGATTTTAGGAGTTGTGCGCCCAGGGGGTAGTTACTCGAAAGGCCCGGTAACTTTTTGGGTCCGGAAGCGAATTTTGAAATCAAATCCATTTGAATAGTAGCACAGTTTCTAGTTCACTAACTGGTGAATTTTGCTTTGCTATCTGATATTTTCATTGTATCATTTTCAAAATTAATGACACATTGATCTTGAACGCAAACGTGGCAAACGTAAACAGCTTTTCGGGCCCGACAAGTTATCGGGACTTTCAAGAAACAGGCCTCAGGCCCGGCTTGTAACAAATGTTAAAGCCAGTCACGGATACGGCAAACGTTGCATTTAATTTACACAGTCGAATTTAATTGATTCAAACGTCGCACTTCACATGCATTTAACTCTCGCGTTTAATAGGTTCGGCACATGTGAAATTCGACGTTTGAACCGGGCCTTATCCGCTCGATAAGTGACTTATCCAATGGATAGCGCCATCCAGCTTTTGAACAACTGGCGTTATCCAAAGTTGAACAACCGGGGCCATGGCAATCAATTTGGGATGGGTAACAAATGTTCAAGTTCATCAAATTTCTTTACAAGTTTTCCGATACGGGGTTTACAAACACAGTCACGGTTAAAGTAGTTCATGTAATTAATAAAAAAAAGGAAATCATTTTTCACCCTTACTAGGGCAAGGCTGGTGGCTTCTTTTCAATGCGAACTCGAAAAGGTTTGAGAGAATATCAGTAGAAGTAGAAGTTCTTATCATAAGACAGACACAGACAAAATGAACGTCATTAATATGAGTTAATCATCAAACCTTTCTTCTTGCAGACTTTTGATCGTATTCTGCGCCTGGACAGGGGCGACCTGGTCACTAGCTATCTTCGCCAACTGTAGTAAGGCTTGCTTAATTTCTAAGGCCTGATCGGCCAAAGTCGGTAGTTTTTCTTCATCTTCCGAAGTCAGTCGAGAGCTGTCGAGTTCACCTTCGGAAGTCGGTCGAGAGCTTTCGAATTCATCTTCGCTTCTTTCAAAAATGGGGCTTAATTTCACGCGAGGTCGGTCCGCCTGAGACATAAACAAATGAATCAACGTTAGTTCCCTGCTATCAAAAATCAAGAATATTAAATTTCACTTATTAGTTTGATCTGAATAAGATGGCTACCAGCAAAGTCAACGCACAGCCTCAAACGCCAACTCGAAAGAGCATGGAAAGGACTGAACGCGACTTCCGGTGCCCAATTTGGCGCCCTGCCACTGGTCGAGCCGATTCTTTGGCCTGCGCGCGCCATCGTCACTGTCGACGCCCTTTCTTTGCTAATTCTGCGTGTTACCCTTGACGACGTGCCGAGCCATGGCGAGAGAGAGATCAGGGAATATTTCAAGTAATCATTCGTCAACATGTTACATTTGGCATAGAAAAGTAATCGTGACTTTCTGGCTGCTATAGTTTCTTTGTACAGAAAGATAACAAGGAATGTGCTAACCATTTTCATGCAATCATGCTACTCACGGGCTGTAGGTTGCTCTCCCTCACGGCTGTAGCTTCTAGAACGCTCTGTACTAGAGACTTAAGAGGCATGATGCAGTCGCTCGCGTCACTTCCGGGGCTTTCCTTGTCAGATACATCGGCGTTGGCACTACTATCCTCATCAACCTGAAGGTCATTTTTAGTTAAGCGTGGAAAGAACTTAACAACCTTGTTAGCTTTCACGGTTATATTACAGGTTGGTTTGTTCCAGGCTCCAAGATAGTAATGTGTAAATCGTGAAACCTGACGTTACAGCGCTTGAAGTACCTCGAGCAGCTCCGCGTTATCTTTACGTGAGTACGCACGTATACTAAACCTCGCTTTACTTTTACGTCTAAGCACGGCATTCTATAAATCGCCTCTATTTTTTTTACGTATCCATAGAGGCAATGTATGAGAGGTCCCGCGTAAACGTAAAAGATGATCATCGCTCAATTTTAACGTTTACGCGCAGCCTTTCATTTATTGCCTCTAATATACACGCGTAAAATTTATGAGCTTAGGTAGGTCAAAATTGCGCGACAGCGGAAATCTATCCTTACATTTTTATAACCAGTCTTCACTTGTTCGCATGCGTCGCAAGCGTTTCCGCGTGCGCGCCTAGTACAAGTATTTGCTTGAGACTCGAGATATGATTGGCTTATTTAATTGTCTGCATTTGCTCTGGTTTTGTGACAATCAAGTGAAAGGTGCGCCAAAACTAGTAATTTGTGTTTAGTTGCTTTTCCAGTAATTAAACGCGAAGCGCAAGCAATATATTATATGCAATATTGAACATATTATTCGATTTTTTCAGGGTTAGCTTAGAGAGCGAAGTATAGAAGTAATTAAATCACCCAGTGGGATTTGATGACTTTGTAGCCTGTCCCAGGCTCTCAGATCATGGGGGTGACGTGTAAGTAAAAGGCACGCGGAAACATAAGCGCGTGATTTGTTCGCGCCTTTTCAATTTCGCGGACCCGACAGACCACGGAAGTTGGAACAGGCTAATTTGATTGTAGCTAGTGTAATGTAACTTTCCTCTGTACCTCCTGTGAACATTCCTTGCTTAAGTTACAAAGCCAATCGTTAACGAGCTCCCAGATCCCATTCAACTCCTTTGAGGTTTCCGCTATAACTGCCTCTTGCTGCAAGACAATCCAGTGAGCCTGTGACTGAGTAGCGTCCAGTTCTTCTTGTTTATCTTGCAAAAGGCCTCTGAATATAAATAACAGTAACTTAGAAAAGCTAACCAGCGTGGCGGTTTTGTCGGGCGTACTACTGGGCCAAGCGGCGAAGTCGCAAAAGCGCCCAAAAATAAGCGGCGAAGTTTCTCGTTGCTCCCGCCCCAATCTCCTCGCAGTTTCACTGCCCCTACCTTGGCTTGTTTGCGCACCCACCAAAACCGCCATGCTTCACAGCTACGCAGGCTACCAGTTAGTTTATAGAGCGCTCGGGGGAACGCGTGCACGCGACCACTTTTTCCCTTTTCCCTAACCGGCGCCTGGCTATGAAAAGCTTGCATGTGGTATAGAGGGCAAAGTTTCCATTCTGTTAGCACAGCTAGATCGTTTTAAAAGCAAAGAATTCAGTATTGAAGGCCTAATGATTTAAAAGTGAATCCCCAGTGTAAATTACAAGTCCATATTCTTTCAAAGCAAGGATTTTCAATCGTGAATGACATAAAAAAAAAGATGTGCAGCAGTCGTTCTTTTACTCAGAAGATGAGTTAATTGATCGAAATAGTTCAATTCTTTCTTTTAACTTAGTACTTAATAATTAACTAAATTTCCAATCAAAGGGTTCCATTCGTCACTTTTACACCTAATGCGCTAATTTGCGAGTGGACTTACTACTTTGCTAGCACAAAGCGAATTAACCCAACAATGTCTTACCAAGGGTTAAAAATTTTGTTTTGAAACGGTTTTGTTATCAATCAACCGTCACATCCTTGTGCTCGTGACGTAGTTTTTCGGGTGTGGTTCCTGGACTTTCAAAACAAAAAACAATGTATAGTACGTTATAGATCAGCACTGTAGTACAGTCGCATGTGGAAACCATCACGTGACTAGTTTTGTAACTACCTTGAGTGTTTCATTTCTTCTGCAAGTTCTTCATATTTTGCAGACTTCTCCCTTAAAGATGCATCTAATTCTGACCTCTCCAGTTTACTCTGTTTTAACTAAAACACCAAACAAGGTAAACGTAAAGATATTTGTCAGGAATGGAGAATAAACAGTTTACTTTGTAGCCTGGTTCCAGGCGTTCAGATAATGGAGTGAGGCGCGAAGTCACAGCGACAATGAAAAATAAAACGCGAAAATACTTACAAAGAAACTGTTTTCGCGGTTTATCATACGTTTTCTCTTGCACTGCCTACGCTTAAGTCTTTGCCATGTTTCAAGCTCCGTATTGGATACACGTGATCTCGACATGAACAATTTGAAAACACACTAAAGAAGCTTACGTAGCATGCGAATAGAGCCGTCTCTCCTCCCTCCACGTCGCTAGGGACGTTTCGTAGGAGAGACGTCCTTATAGGGCGGGGACAAAAGAGAGACGGCTGGTTTCGCATGCTAGAGCAGCTTAGGTTACCTGGTCTTCCATTTCACAAAGCGTTTTCTCAAGGTTCCTTCTTTCCTCTTCAGTAAATTCATCCACTTCTCGTTGCTGAGATTGTATGTACTAAAGACAACAGAACGAATGCCTATTTGATTAGACTTCATCAAGAAAAAGAGTGTGTAACGTGCTGCATTATTTGGGGATACTAGTTTTACCGTAAGTGCATTTACCATAAACGCTATTTTCAAATTGAGAATACTTCAATAGGTACTCAAGGGAGTTTCCGTGGATATAGCTCGCGTAGCAAGCGCTTGAAAGTAATAAGGGAGCGAGAAAAGCATATTACTTTCAAGCGCTTGTTGCGCAGGCTACTATGGATACAACGGAACTTTTAAGAAATGCGGGCTATGAAAAGTTGTTCTTCACCAAACAAATACGATAGAGTATCCCTTTGGTGTGCAAATCTGTGAGGTATAGTTCAGTAACCAAGAGAGCAGGCGGTTAATCTTGAAACAGTGCCTTCGCTATCCCATTACTGTCGTCTATTTTTCCCCTCCGCGCGTGCTTGAATTCCCCCTTCCCCTTTCTCTATTAACAACTGCCACGCAGGCTAGCTACGTCACAAAAAACATGACCTAGTTTGACAACAGACAATGTATGCTTTGTTTTCAAAGGAGAATAACACTTTCCCCTTCCCGCTCTAAAATCTCCTCTCTCTCCTAATCCCTATGGAAGGCCTGATACTCAGACTACGCTTTTTAAAGCGATCTATATAACCCACGATCAGGCTTTCTTGTGGGGTATAGGACACCCCTCTCCCCCAGGGGCTGGTTAACAGGCGGGGCTATGTTACATACCTCCATTTGTTCAAGAGCGTTCGAGAGCTTCACCTTCAAGTCATGTATTTCACGTTGTTGTCCGTCGATTAAGTTATCCTGCCTTGAGATTTCCATCTTATGAATGTCAAGTTCCGATGCTAAAAAGTCATTTTGTTCAACCAACCTCTCACGCTGCTCTGTCGTTGCCACTTCGGTCTCTCTAGAAATTGGACAAAAAAAATCGTTTACTTTTTTACTCAGTTCGCAGTCAGAGGGAAAGGGGATAAAATACACCACAAAACTAAAGAAAGTGCCTCTTAGTTGGGACGGGCGGGGGGTAAATAGCAACGTAAATTTTCAAAATTCTCTTTCGTGCCCTATAGATTTTTTTCTTTTCCGTCACTAGTCTTTAAAAGAAACAAGTATGACATTTTACGTTGCGGACGTTGTTGAGTTTCACATGGAAGGACACATTGCCGCGTCCTTCATACTTCCCTCAAAGATCCTTTGTGGTCAAACAGCAGGGCTAACGAACTTTTGCATTTGGTGAAAGTGCATGGTGCTACTAAAAACAACAAAACTTGCAGGTGTTTTGGAGAACTTTCGGACCACGCTTTACGCAGAACAAACGTATAATTAAGTGAGCCAGGTATTAGTAAGGTATGTACAGTACTTTTTCAACGTTAAAGACATCCACTGGTTAAAAGGAATTTTAACCATTAAAATAAAATTACCATGAAGTTATATTTTTTGTAAATTCTTTAAAGGCGGAAACAAATATACAGTAGAAGCTCTCCTAACCATCACTTACTGCCACCTTCACAAAACCTCGGTTTTCGCAACACCAATCAGTACAAACTCAGTATTTTTACATTCCCGTAAGGTAAGCGACAAGCACCAGTTATGGACACAGCCGTTTTCGCTGCCGAAGGTGTCCGCTCACAAGAGCTTCCACTCTTTGTCATATATATTGCTGACCTTGACGTTTTTAATTGACTTTCCAAATCCACGACACGTTTTCTGCTGTCTTCCAGATGCTGGGAGTTAGACTCTAAACACAAGCGTAGCTCGTCGATCTGATGATGCAAAATACTAACTGTTATATAATAATGCAAGATCTCTCCTGCATGGATCTCTCCAGACGAGGCATCCAAAACACAAGAGCAGGGTTGTCGTTAAGATTTCGAGTTACCGGGTAAATACAACAAGTAGGTGGGGAATCAAACCCCAAGGGGTTTCTTTTGGTTCTAATTTTCTTTTATTTTCCATTAAAAGTAGCCCACGGCCACACTCATAGTAGCCGGGGGAAATCCCCGGCCCCTGGCTCTTAATGACAGCCCTGCAAGAGACAAGCAAGATACATTGCATAATCCTTATCATATAAATTCAAACAGTTCAAAGCTGTGTTGTTTCATAGTTAGTATGATAAGTACAGTGCACTGAATAGATTTAAGTCAACTCTCTCCAGGCTAAGTGTCCATTAAGAGAGAGAATCAACTTTATACAATTAAACAGCTCAGTGAGTATATGAGGAGTGAGTATATACCGTATTTCCTTCAATAATAGCCATCCCTCGATTTATCAGCTCCCTCGAATGATCACCCCCCTTTACAGAAATGTTTAAAATAATTGCCTCACTTGAATAATTGCGCCCCCCTCCCATCACCCCTATTTTTTTTAGGTTACCTGCTAGGGATACCCAACGTGGTACACCTGTTAATTGTGGGGATAAAGCTAAAGTGGAGTCTGATCCAGCAAAACTGATCAGTGACGATCCAAGCTCTGATGGTGAAGACATTGACATTAAAAAGTGATCAAGGAACCAAATTTGGAACACCTAAAATGTCAGTGTTCATTTTATTTGATGTGATTATTTTTTTGATTTCATGGGACAATAGACCAAAATATTTAAAGCACAACTTCTAGTGAGCAATATTTGAAATAATTGCCCCCAAATACGGTAATACTCATTTAATTCAAGAGAGCAAGTGACCTGATACTGGAGTCCTGCTTCATTTTCTCTGCTGATAGCCAAGTAATTCTCCGCTTCTAGGGCTGCATTCTGTTAAAAAGGAAAACATGGAATAAGAAAAAAGAAAGTCAATATTGCATTCCCAAGTGAAGAGTGGCACAGTGAAGTCCCGGGCTTCTAGACCAGAAGTAGTTTGTGATCCAATTTTTAAATTCATGTCACTTTTTCAAGAAAAAATGAAATTTCAGCAAGCCAATTCTATTACATCTATAAAAACATTACTAAGCCATCAGCATTATCATGCACGGCTTGTAGGCGGCATGGAATTCCCGAAATGTGAGTGAAGTCTTTAATAGACTGATATAAATACGATAATGCATGATGTACTGTACTTGACTGACATTAGTACAAGTTTAAGAAGTACCTTACAACACCAAGATGCTGTTAAAAATTGTCATACAGTCTACAGTGTACCAAGGATATTTTCCACCAGTGTTTATACATGTGTACCCATGGGCAAATTTTAGCTATATTAGTTCATCAAATTTCTGATCCGAGCTGTGGACCAAGTGCTCAGTCATTCATCTCACCTCTAATCTATCTACCAATCCTTTCAGTGTTGTGCAGTGAGCTCTATTTCTTTGAACTTCCTCGTCCTTGTCCTCAACAATGCTACACAGTCTCTGAATTTCACAAGCGTTTTTATCTCTTTCATTGGTTACACCCTTTAATCTGTTCTGGAGATCTCTGTACTGCTCAGTAAAAGTTTCAAAGTCTTCTATTTGTTTATTTAGTTTGCCAACTTGATCTTTGAGCTCAGCATTCTTTTTACGGCTCTGGAAAAGAACCTCACTAATAGCCTTTGTGTCTTTTTTGCTCTTGTATAGTTCTTCCTTAACTACAGGAAGTTCCAGTAAGAGTTCTTGTAACTGTTTGCACTGCTTTTGAAGGTCACAGAGCTCCTTTTGCTTTGATTCTAATTCCTTTTCAAGGACTGTAGCTGCAGTTACTGTAGTAGTACTGTTCAATGGCTTGTTATACCTTGCTTGCTCCTGAAAGATGCAATATCACAAACTACATGTAGCTTAGTTAGAGATGAAGGAGGGAAAAATATGATACAAATTCTAGTTCCTGGTTGTCCTCATAATAACAATGTTGATAAAAAAACTATAAGCATTAACAAGTTAATATCTTGCTACTACCTTAAATACTGTAATGATTTAAAGGCATCTTGCTAACAATATGTATGTATTGTACAAGAGCTTTGAAGAGTAAGGCAAAATATTTTGGTTGGATTGACTCTGACTTATGAATATTCATCAAGCTGGTGTCTTTGAACTTTGACACAAGTTATTCAACATGACTGTAGCTACAATGAAAAATAATAATATTATAAAATAAGTATGCATAATAAAAAGCTAAAAAAAAAATTATTTTATTTTATTTACAAAAAATCTGGCTGAAAGTTAACATATGAAAGTTTGCTTGATAATCTAGTAAACCAAGGTTTACAAAAATCAGAA